CAAATGTGACTTGTGGGTGTGTTCCAGGGGGTGCAAGGAACTATGGTCAAGACCGACATCACCTTTTTATGAACGTGAGGGTGGATTATGTGGAGACTCCCCGTCAGTGTGTGTATGTGATTTTGAATCATCGAGGGGTACCTCAGATGAGTGGGCAGGGGCAGTGTTTGTAACTTTTCAAACTTACTAGGTCAAATATTTATCTAATAATAATCCTATATTATCCATATTTAACCAAATCCATTAATTTTGATAAGGATAAACATTCCAAACATAAAAAAATCGATTTTAGGCAATAAAAACGAGTTTTGGTAATTATCCTTAGCAAAATCTGCTCAAAAAATCGAAAATCCCGGCAACAGACAAGCAAACTCGACGAGTTGGGTCTAGAACTCATCAAGTTCAGTATGAACTCATCGAGTTCATGCTCCAGACAGCAAAACTTTCGATTTTTCTGATCTTTGGCAGTCCAATTATGCATCTATTTAACAGAAAAATGACCTAGGCTCTGATATCACTGATGGGTTTTGAGCATAACATCAATCCGATGGTGTTCATGCATCCCTAAGTGCTTGGATCTAGTTTTTCTACTTTGAACATGCAATAAACTTCCAAGACTTACAAACCCTAGATCTAGCATACTAGTAATCGAATTAACATATGAATTAGGGTTTAGATCTTATCTTGATTGTTATGTAGCAATAACAGTCAATTCCTTGGCTTCAGAAAGCTTAGTGCCTCAAGTGTTGCACCTCTAATGGAGTCACAAGCACCACTAAGCAACTTGGATGAAGAGAGAAGAGAGGGAAGTCACCAAAACTGGCTGGAAACCCTAAAGGAAGTGTTAGCCACGTTTTTGGTGCCCAAGGGTTCCTTATATACTTAGGCAATTAGGGTTATCAAACAAGGAAACCCTAACTTGACTGCTTAAGCCCTAAGAAGCCCATGGACCCCTTCTGGAACATGCTTTGGACAATTTCTAATAAGATTCCCTATAGAATTCGTCCAACCTATTATTCCAAGGTGATCCATAGCCCAATTGTAATTATCTTATAATTACAATTCCAGTCCCCTAAGTTTAATTAACCTCTTTTAGCTACAAAATTAATTCTTCACTAATATTAATTACATTATGATTTTTCCTTTAATATATGATTCTTATAATATATTAATAAATCATAATTAAACCTTTCTCTCCTTAATTCATCCTACATATTGCTATGGTGAAGGCAACCCAAAAGGACAATGCTCATAATCGGGTCAAGTACATACCAAAATAGTTATGGACTTAGACACTAATCCAACAGTTACATCATCACACATTTTGCAAGCTTTTAGAGGTATCAAGTCGAAACCTTTTCTACTCCATGGTTAGATCTTTTGATGTCTTAGTTTTTATACTTTTGGTCCTTTTTGGGTTGGATTGATGATTTAGGACGATTGAAGGGCATATTGTTTTAGTTATGAACTTATTAGGAGTCTCTTAAGCATAAAGGTGCAAACTTTATGGGGTTTTTGGTTTCATGCATGCAATAATTCATCTATTAAGTCCTTTTGAGCTTTAAGAGCTTCATTTAGCTATGCATGAACGTAAAGTTAGCAACTTTACGTGATTGACTAGCTCAAGGAAGTTAGACCTACGTTTTGGAGCAATGTATTAATGAATTAAGGGTTAAAAATGGAAGATGGGTGAATGGGGAAGTATGTTGGCCGTACAAGCCCTAAAACGTGCACGCTTAGCGTATAGCTGAGTACGCCCCACGTACTTAGCAAGATTAGACTTTGGATGTTTGGGATTCGGTTTGGGCAATATTTTGTGCTTAGATGTTTGGGCCATCAGGTTTTGGGCTGGTAATTATATTGAGAGGGTCTACAATGGGATTTCAGCCTAATTTGGAAAATTTGTCCATAATTGGGCCTTGGATGATTAATTTGGAATTGGGCCTTTTGGATTAGTCTTGGACCAAACTAGGTAAGGGGTAAAATTGTATTTTTACCCTAAGTATGGACTGATGGTTATGGATTAGAATCTAATCATTAATTAGATGTTATTTAGTATTTAAAAGCCCGGGGATTCGTCAGACCAACAACTAAAGATCTTTTAGTGTGATTCAAGAGTGTGTTATGTACTCATATGCTTACCGGCGGGGCCCAATGACCATTTTGTATGCTATGTATCTTGGTGATTATTGCATGTGTATGCGTTTATGTATATGTTTATATGTATGTCGGGCAGGGCCAGATCTATGTACTGAGCAGGGTCTGATAACGGGTGGGGCCCATTATGTGTTCACCACAAAAAAATAAGCCATTTAGTGGCATACAAAAAGTGCCATTAAATTTTTTTAAAAAAATGCAACTAATTGCTTCTCGGCTAATCAGCGACACGTATAATAAGTGCCACTCAAAACGCTCCCACTGAAACCCTTTAGTGGTACTTTTTGTTTTTGCCGCTACAGTTTTTATGCTTTTAGTGACATTTCGTATTTGTCACAATAGAAGAAAAGTTTCTTATGACACATATTTTGTGCCACTAAATGCTCATTTGATTCAAGATTTGATGCTACTTTTAGTGACACTTTTTTATTTGCCATAACAAAAAAATCTTTTGTTGCACTTTTTATGTGTCAAAAATCATGACAACCCCACTTTTTCTGAAAATGATGAAAGCAGCCAACATAATTTAATTATTAAATTAATGTTTATTATTAGAGCTTAAATTAGTGCATATTCTCTTATACATACACATGGTGATACGTCTTATGATTTACATGGCATCAATAGAAAGCAACTCTTCCTCTACCTCCACCTTCACCTCTAGTTCCGCCTCAGCTCCACCTCCATTTCTGCCTTATCTCCACCATCTTCCTCCCTATCTATACTCGTCTATACATAGAAATACAACCGTAAATCTTTTATAGTTACATTGGAGCAATTTTAGATTTTTAATTAATAAAAATAGTATGTAACCTTTTTAGGTTACCTGTAATGTTATGATAAATAATGGGCAAGAGAATCTTGCCCATGGAGGATTTTTGCACCACAACATGGTCCTTCAGTTCCAACTGTCTCCTCATTAACTACCACACCATCTATTATTCTTTACATGTTCTATCATCATGGATCTGCAATATATTCATAAATTGATAAAAAGCAAAATGTTTTATTTTAGGCACAAGAGTTTAGATTCAAAGCTCATAAATATCATCCGTCAATTTATTTTCCAATAAGGCTCTCAAACCATGAGCATTAGTGTTCTTAGTTATTTATTTTCTTGTAATTAATCTCAAAGCATTTTTTGTATATGTATGTTAACCTATAAATAAAAATAATAGTATACAATTATCAACATTTTCCATTAGTAAATGTGTTGAGATGAAAGAATACTTACTTCATTCATCTAAAATAACTTCTTGTATTTTTTCCCTAACGGATTCTTTGGATTAGTTAGCACCTACAAAAATTATTATTTATTCATCCAATTTACTTTAGTCATACAACACTTAATGAGAACAAAAATAACCAGACATATTAAAGCCACTTAATGTCTACCACTAATGAAAAGGTATCTTGATAAATCGAGGATCTGTAAGAGCTAATAATTGACAAGAATTAGAAACCATACAACAAATTTAGGTATCAGACCATATGCAATAAAATCACTACTTCCAAGCTAACAAACATAAACAAACACTAACCAAATCCACCCATCCAACATTATATGCAGATACATACACTTATGGAAGAAAAGGGACTTACAATCTCTAATAAAGACAACGTGTGTACTTGAAAATTCTAGAATAATATTATATTTATAATACGGTATAAGAACACAAAAGAGTACTTAGTAAATGATACCTTTTTGAAATGGTATTTTCAAGATCTATAAAGGCACCTGCACAAATAAACAAGATGACTTTGGTATACTTGATGAAGTACATGTGTAATAGACTAATAGAGGGATACTTGATTGAAACAACTAGCACATCATCTGCCCTCATCTTGAAGCTCCTCTATGCCTTCATCTTGTTCAGCCCTAACCAACGTCACAACCTTAGTTCTCCTTTCAGCCAACATCGCACGATCATCTTAATCCATGATATTGTTTGGTTGTGCAATCATCTTTAGATCGAGGAAGGATGGTGGGATATACACAATGTATCCTAGGCTTTGAATCGATCCAAAGAAAGGGTGGGGGTTCGTGATCTATGGTGGCTACAAGATGCATAGAGAGAATAGGTGTGACATGTAATTTTTAGATAGATAAACCCTAAAAACAGGATATAGTGACAAATCATATATGTACCATTAAAAACACTAAATGACATTTTGTTTGTAGTGGTTCATTATGTATGGTATGTGATATTTTAAGAACTCATTAAACTTTGTGCTTATGGTTTTCAATTTATATTTCATGTACTTCCAAATTCAAAGGGAATGCCTCAAGATGATTGTAGAGCACACACCACTTCTTTCTGTATTTTGTGATTTACTATGATTTAAGATGATGTTTGATTAATTTATTTTTATCTAGATTGTATTGATGATGCTTTGGAATATATATATATATATATATATATATATATATATATATATATATATATATATATATATATATATATATATATATATATATATATATTTGTTTAACTTTTTGTAAATTGAAGTAAAAAACATTTTTTTTTCTTAAAATTCCTTAATTATTCTTCGGATTTTGGATCTGTTTTTTGAAATTTCAGAGATTTTTTTTTTTTTTCGAAATCCGAAATTTTAGTTCAGAATTCACAATGACATTCAGAAACTAGTAAAAAATGTTTGTTTTTAGTCCGGATTGTCCCATTACATATAAGGTGATCATTTTTGCAAAAAAAATGGTAAATAAATGGAAATTTGAATATTTTTTTTAAATATACATAGTGGTTAGATTACTCAATTTCCATAATTATAATATTGGTTAAAATTTGCATGTAAAGCTTGAAGATGTAAAGTACAAGCATACAAGCACATGGTATAAGTAGAAAAACATGACCAACATCCCTATATAATTGCCTCATTCATCAGTTGTACAAGTACTACCATTAGAGGGGACGACTAGCTAGCTAGTGATCACAAGAAAAAGAGATGGCTATAACAGGAAAGATATCACGTGCAGTTGAAATCAAATGCGATTGTCACTTGGTTTATGACCTCTACAAGCACAAACCACACGACTCATCAGTCGCCGACCCTGAGAAGGTTGAAGCTTGTCATTTAGTTTCTGGCCAATGGGGTGTTCCTGGATCTGTCATTCATTGGGACTTCTATCATAGTAAACTACTTCATTCGTGTTAACTTAACATAAAAACTAACTTGTTCTATGTTCTACCCATACCTATGAATGTTTGTAGAAACTAATTATGGTTTTTCTGTAGATGGAAAAAAGGAAACTTGCAAAGAAATCATTGAAGAAGTTGATGATGAATTGCACAAAATTGTGTTCAAAGTGATTGAAGGAGATATCGTGGAGGTGTATAATTCCTTTAGCTTCATCCTTAAGACCGAAGATGTGGGGGATAAGAAGCTTGTTATCTGGACTATAGAGTTCGAGAAGGCGAATGAAAGTATACCCGATCCAACATCGTATCTGGACTTGCTTTGTGGAATTGCCGGAAATATGGATGCTCATTTTCTCAAGTAATCATGATGTCGATATGTTCAATAAATAAATGATGCAGATACATATATATTATATCGTAATTAATATTATATTGAGTGCGTGTGAAGATATGTATTGTAAACTATCATGGTGTGTTCTTGTGTATTTCAATTTCTTTTGCTGGAATTGTGTTATCTTTTGCTTGATTTTTGTTTTTGAAAGTAAAACTCACCTTTGATAGTTACTTCTGTTTATATTTTTCTATATAAGTAATGTGGAATATCGTAGATTGTTTCAAGACTTTGATGTTACTTTTTAATGTTCTCGCTGTTGTTGTTTTCATTTTGGATCTGGCTTAACTGGTGCTGTTTGGTGGTGCTCTTAAATGAATAATTGAACAAAAACAGAACAAAGATTTAAGCATCGGAATCACGGATTCTCATGAAACTGAAACGGAAGTAATAAAAACTGTCGTCTTAACAAGAAACTTCAGACAGTTAGCAATCAAGCGAACAGTGAAGGACAGGAAATTGTCCAGCATGTGAACCAATCAGACGAGTGGAAGATGAACGTTTCTGGTATTTAGTCTAAAACCTTAATTGGTGATGAATTTTATTGGTTCTAGTATTTGATATAATAACAAGTTTTTTTCTTTTAAATCTATTATTTACATCCAATTTTAAATTTTTTGAACTAGAATTCAAATAAATTATTTTTTAAATCTGTATTTACAGGTTTTTTGTTTGATTATTCAACCAAGCTCACTTCCATTCATCCCTATTGAAAATAATAAGATTGACATTGCGTGGGATATTATATAATTAGCTGAAGATTTGATTGACTTTTTTTAAATTGTTTTGGTTAACAACGACGCGGTGGGATAATATATAATTAATTGAAGATTTGATTCAGTTTTTTTTATTGTTTTATTAATAATGAAGGTGTTTTTTCCATAGAGACACATTATTTTGATTTTTAAGATTATTTTAATGGTTGAATTTGTATTGTTTTATGGAAAAATAAATTATAAACAGTTTATTATTGGTTAATTTTAATAAAGCGTTCATAGAGTATCTTAATAGCAACACTATGTGTGTATATATATATATATATATATATATATATATATATATATATATATATATATATATATATATATATATATATATGATTAAGTTTAAATAAGAACACTATTTAATGTGAGAACGTGAAAACAATACTTTATATTACTATTCTACTATGAATTTTATATGTATAGTATTGTAGTATTTATAATATGAATATATGCAATTTTATATTGCTATTCTAGTATAAAATTTACATATATATGTAGTAATTTAGTAAATTTTAATATGAATGTTAAATATGTGATTATTCATATATTCGGTGATGAATAATGTCATAAAGTTGTACATACAAAATTTTATTGTAAATATTAATCTGTAATTGTTCGTATATTTGTTGATGAATAATATCATATCGTTGTATATACAAAATTCATAGTAGAATAGTAACATAAAGTAGTATTCTCACGTTCTCACATTAAATAGTGTTCTCATTTGAACTTAACCCTATATATATATATATATATATATATATATATATATATATATATATATATATATATATATATATATATATATATATATATATATATATATGTATACACCTTAAAAAGCATTTATAAGATTTCGCTGAATTCTAAGAGGTACAAGATCAAATTCAAGTTGTACGATGAATTTATGCATTGAATCTTATTTAGTCAAACGTTGAATACATAGTCTCACTTATATCCCTAAAAAATATCGACCTAACTAATGTGAATCAAACTAAATCAGTCAAAAAATATGACTTATTCCAAATATGTTCCCTGAAATAGGGGATTTGAGTCCCTTTTCTGTTGTTTCTCTTCTGTTTATAAAGAAACGTTGCCACCAAAGGTTACCCCCTCCAATCAGTTCTGGAACCATGACCACGACCGTCCTCTACCCTCCTCCGCATACGTCTTCATCATTGAACCACCAGTGCACCGCCACCAAATCAACGCCTTGCTCTATCCTCACACTCTCCTACAATCGTCTACCTCTTTCCAAAACATTACAAAACCACCATCAGTGAAAAATCAATAGCATTCACCTCTATGCTTTACTGCTACCGCCATTCTAGATTTGTTACCATCGAGGTTTCCTGATTTTTATTTATTGAATCGACTAACCTAGTGGGTAGTTTTCAAAACCGTTGATTTCCCGAACGCTTTCTTTCTCTGCATAATCAAAATGATGATTAATGAAAACCCTTAATTTCTTCATTCCTCTACTTACCTACATAATCTAATGAATACTTCTTATTTGTTTCAAGGTTTATTGGAAAAATGATGGCCCTTGCTGCTATTGGCATATATTTAATTGCAACTTCTTCTTATAATTATTTTTTCAACGGTTTTGGGTTGCTTCGATTTATTGATAGGTTTAGTGTGTTGCTTCCATTTAAAGCTACGAATCGATGAAGCTTTTCCATCTTTCTCTTCTAAATTACTATTGGTTGTGTTCTAATTTTCCTCTTTTGTTTGGTATATACCATGAAATCAGTTAAACTTTCACTTGAGTTCACATTGTTAAACTTTCACTTTAATTCAACTCACCCCAGAAACACCAAAATGTAAAGCTGGGACAGAAAATGATGAGAGGCCCTGAAACCAAAAGTAACATGGATTTCACTATCCAGGAACTCAAGCACAAGAATTCATTGGATGGTTGGAAGATCTTTTAGTTTCCATAACTTAGTGTATCCCGATTTGATGAATGTTTCTCTTTTCAGTAACTGTTGGTTGTCCACTTTCTTCAGATTGGGCAGCCAAAAAGCAGTTATGATGGGCTACCATAAAACTAGCATCTGGGCAAACAATTATAACAAAATTAGTTGCAATTTCTGCTAATTTGGCACCGGTTAAAGCACTGAAGTAGGTAACATTCAAAGCTTATAGGTTGTGTTTTTCCTTGATTTAATTGTCAATTTAAAAGAAATTGAGAGGTGAGGAAGGTTGGTAGGGAAACTTGCATTCGGAGTAGCCAGATTTCGACCACCGACAAGTCACACTCGGTGCAAGTTATACTTGAATGTAAGTAATTTTGTATTTGATTATATATGTGAGTTTAAAGTTTTTTATGTCAAGATCTAATATATTTTTCAGTATATTTTGTTTATAACATATGAATTTTGTACTTATTCATAACTCATGTACCTTTTGTACAAGAAATGTACTTTTTTTTTTATTTATCTTTTCAATCTTTATTGTAGGATCAGTTGGTGGGGATGTATGTCAGTTGTGAACAATTTAAATCAAAAGCATGAACATGCTAATCTTCATATTACTACACCATGCTATTGCCCGGTTGTTCCATTTTCTTAACAAAAATACTCCACAACAAGTTAAATGATATATATATATATATATATATATACTATAATAAATGAAGGTTTTTTTTGTCACATGTCATCTTCTCCTTCATTTGGATACTTGGCGTTTTCTAAAATTTTTAAATTTTTTATTTTCCCTTTTTTATTTTATTGTATTTTTCATTTTATTAAATTAAAATTCCACATTTAATTTGTAACGTAATATATATGTAAAGTATTTATTAGAAAGAGTTTATATATGTAATGTATATAATACATTAAAGTTTCAATAATTTTAATAATTCAATTTCTTTTTCATTTTTCTTATAAATTCAAACTTTTCAAATTGTTAAAATTTCATATTTTTTTTAATTAAACTTATGTAATACATGGGTCTCATACCTAGTCTACTATAATAAATGAAGGTTTTTTTGCCACATGTCCTCTTCTCTTTAATTTTGACACTTGGCATTTTTTAAAATTTTTAAATTTTTTATTTTCCACTTGTCATTTTACTGTATTTTTCATTTTATTAAATTAAAATTCCACATTTAATGTGTAATGTAATATATATGTAAAGTATTTATTAGAAAGAGTTTATATATGTAATGTATTCAATACATTAAAGTTTCAATAATTTTAATAATTCAATTTTTTTTATTTTTCTTATAAATTCAAACTTTTCAAATTGTTAAAATTTCATTTTTTTTAATTAAACACATGTAATACATGAGTCTCACACCTAGTGTAGCATAAAAAGAAGATTTAATACCAGCATTAACTTGGTTTAGTGTGTGTTTGCGTGATTAGGTGCTCTCAAACTTTTCTCGGAAAGTGAACTCTTCCATTTGTGACTTTCTACAAGCCACTTTCATATTTATGATTTTTGCAATCAAGCTAACAAGTTTGAACGTAAATGAAGACCAAGAACTAAACTTGATGTATTTTTTGAACACTTTAATACATTGAAGGGAAGCAAACCTTAAATGATTAATTGAAGGCTAAATGTAACATCCGGAATTTCAGGTATTATATTTATTCATTTTATTTTGAGTTTTGTGGAAGAACTTGGCGAGTTGGTGCGTAGACTCGCCGAGTAGAGATGCGACTTATCATCCGGATTAATGATCGAACTCGACGAGCCGCATTGGTGGACTCGGCGAGTCCGTGCTGTTTAATGAAACTGTAATTTCTTGGGTTTGGGGCCTATTTAAAGGGCCTTATGGTCGTCATTTGTGCTCACCAGTCCCCAGAGCAAAACCCTAGTGAGCTTGAGCGTTTGGAGTGAGAGAAGGAGCCATTGTTAACCTTTGTGGTGTTGTCTAGCAAGGGAAAGGAAGCTATAGCCAAGAGGAAGCAAGAGGGTTAACTTCCTGAAGATTTGAGGTCCAGAGCATCACGTTTGAGGTACCATTTTCGAACCCTTTTCTGTTGAGGTGATGTTCATGTTGATTTAGGGCTTATTGAGCCCTTTTGTGGCTAGATCTAGTGCTCCCATGGTCCCTTAAGCGAGTTAGGTTCTGGATCTGGACCCTTGGAGGTCCAGAGTGTTCCTTTGTCCAAGCTTTTTATGAATCCATGGAGGTTTTGGTTTGGGATCTTTGTGTTTGAGGTCAAAACACCATTTATGAGTCATTAGGTGTGATATGAGCGCCAAGACATGAATTTTACGTGATAAATAAGCTTGGAAGGACTAGATCTATGAGTTAGTGGAGCAGATCTGGCCTCAGAAGGTCGTTTGGGGTTGTACATGGAATGCACTCGCCGAGTCCATTGGCAGACTCGACGAGTTGGTGCGGGTTGTTCAGGGATTTCGAACCAAGGGTTGAGTAACCGAGTTGGGTGAGTGACTCGGTGAGTCGGAAGGGACTCAGAGGAATCGGGTCCCCGTAGAGACTCGACGAGTCCACGCCAGACTCGGCGAGTTGGGTTGACCGTTGACCATTGACCAGAGTTGATCGGTGATGACTTGATAGGGTTAGTCAACCTTAGTTGGGAAAGTGTTAATTAGAGATGTATTGTGTTATAGGAGGACTATAGCTCGAGAGATCGACCACTACTGCTTTCAGGGATTTACGAGTTACCGAGATCCGCGAGGTGAGTCTTCTCACTATACTTTACCTTGAGTACGTAAATAGAGTTATTTGATACAGTGTTTTATATATATTGTTTGTTGCACTACATTCTTCTATGTGATTTATGATGTGCATGGTTGCAGAGTTAGAACCTGAGGTTTCACAGAGTTTTGTGTGCACAGACCCACAAAGTTATAGCATCGAGTGGCTAATATGTGTTATATGTGGTATTTTGGGGAACTCACTAAGCTTGTGCTTACACTGTTTTGTGTTATGTGTTTCAGGTACTAGTGAGGATCGCGGGAAGACGCCGGCTTGATCAGTACACACACGGGATTTTTTGCTATAAGATCTTGGGATTGTTATATGTTATAAATTGAGTTTCAAACAATGATGTTTTTATGATTTACAAATGAATTATGTTTTTTTTTTATAAATGCGAAAAATTGTTTTGGAAATTTACGGTGTTACACTAAAGGTATAAATTAACTATGTAGGGATGAAGTTATAAGAGTTTATTCCTTCTAGGATAGCCGACAATATAGGGTGGGGTCAATTCAAATTAGAGTTGTCCAATTTTCTTTTTCAGAGCATATAACTATTTTGCATATAAAGAGATTAGCTATAAAGTCATTAAGTTTCATTTAATCACAGTGGAAACGTATTTAAGGTTAGGTTTGAGTTTTTCCTATTGCTTTTCCATAAACGACCACTTTGTAATAAAATTGACTGATTTTGGTGTTTTTATCATCAAATTTTGATGTTCTTATTTAATTTCTTTGACATAATTATAATAGTACATATAAAATTTTATTTGATATGAGAGTCCACACCATGACTAATAACCCACACTTAGCATAACATATAATCACAACAAATTAATTACTTAAACGGAACATTGTATTTAATCAAAGATATCGTTAGGTTCATTACTTAAAAAAAAACAAATATACATATATATATATATATATATATATATATATATATATATATATATATATATATATATATATATATATATATATATATATATATATATATATATATATATATATATATAAAGAGAGAGAGAGAGAGAGAGAGAGAGAGATAGGTTCAAATGTTTTTGACAAATATTGTGTGACTGTGTGCACCAATAAGAATTCAGGAAATAATTAATTATTAAATAAATCATTTAAGGGTATTATAGTAATCTTGACATATTTAAATATGGTAGATAATTAATATGTTCTTTATTATTCCTTTAAATATGGGATGTAGTCAAAATCTGTTGAAAAAAACCCTAGCCGATCACGTATACATCGATTTATCCTCCCTCTCGTTTTCTTAGCATTGGTCCCTGCTATTCAGTGGGGTTTCGGAGGTTTTGGGCTACTGTAGAAGGGAAGATGTGCTAGACGTTTGATCAGAGGGCATCAGAGGGCAGGAGGGGTTCCGATGGGGCAAAGAAATCAACGATGAAGTCGAATCTTCATAGGCCTTGATCGATGGGAACAGAAGAGAAAGAAAGAGAGGGGAGGAGGTATCGATCTCCGATGAGTGATTAGACCGAAGAACAAAAGGAGAAGCAACGGGGTGGGGCTGTTGCTCCGATCGAAGCAGGTCAGGAGGTGGAGAGGATGTGGTGGTGGTCGGCGATTCTTCTTCTCCGGTGAAAT